TAGTAGGTAGTAGTAGGTAGTAGTAGGTAGTAGGTAGTAGGTAGTAGCTAGTAGCTAGTAGCTAGTAGCTAGTAGCTAGTAGGTAGTAGGTAGTAGGTAGTAGGTAGTAGGTAGTAGGTAGTAGTAGGTATTAGGTAGTAGTAGGTAGTAGTAGGGTAGGTAGTAGGTAGTAGCTAGTAGCTAGTAGCTAGTAGCTAGTAGGTAGAAGTAGGTAGTAGTAGGTAGTAGTAGGTAGTAGTAGGTAGTAGTAGGTAGTAGGTAGTAGCTAGTAGGTAGTAGGTAGTAGGTAGTAGTAGGTAGTAGTAGGTAGTAGGTAGTAGTAGGTAGTAGGTAGTAGGTAGTAGGTAGTAGGTAGTAGGTAGTAGTAGTCACAACAAGTTTGAACAAGCACAAAGAAAAGGCCAGGGACACAGGATCAGATTAATAGGGGGTAGTAGTGCAGATTATTGATGGGGGACCGGCCCTTGTGAGGGGTACCCTTTGTGAGCTTGTCAAATGATTGTTTTTAATTGTTCTTTAATAAGGCAATGTATAGGCCCTGAGCCCTAGACGTTTTTAAGGATTTCGTCAAACATGTAGTAGGTAGTAGGTGGTGATGGTGGTGGTGGTGGTCGTGGTAGTAGCACGTAGCAGTAGCAGTAGCAGTAGCAGTAGCAGCAGCAGCAGCAGCAGTAGCGCAGCAGCAGCAGCAGCAATAGCGACAGCAATAGCTAGTAGCAGTAGCAGTAGCAGTAGCAGGAGCAGCAGCAGCAGCAGCAGTAGTAGTAGTAGCAGTAGTAGTAGCAGCAGCAGCAGTAGTAGTAGCAGTAGTAGTAGTAGCAGCAGTAGCAAGTATAATGTCAAGTCAGGATAAATAAACCTCCACTAGTTAACCCCTTATTAAAAGTAATATTACTTTTTGTGGATTGTGTAGGCTCGGATTAACTGGGGGGGGTTGTTGGTAGAAAATTAGACAATAGGGGGGGAAATCAACAGCGAATAATACTTTTAATTTGGGCAATTTCCGGCGGCTTTGTGGGCTCGGATTAACTAGGGGAGGTTTATTAATCCTAACTTTACATTACAATCCAACAACGGATTTGTTGGGATGTAGTCTAGTGATCTAGTCTTGTATCCAACTACACTTCAGTGGTCCTGTATCCAAGGCCTGCTGAAAATGCGAATTGGACCCATGAACTTAAGAATGAACGCGTGTTGATGTTAATTGACAAAATGTTGTCTGTGACTCGACAGGAAGCTTTCCTGAGCCCAAAAAAAAACGAAAAGAAGCGACTTCGGTTTCAAGTGGAACCATCAGAATCTCCGATCCCTGGCACTTGCGAAGCATCTTCTCACATGGCACGTTTCACCGTGGGGAAGGATGATAGGGATTGCGGTGGATGTCCATAGTCCAGATGTCTCAAAGACCTGGGCTGAACATGTCAGTGAATTGTTTGTTGCAACAGTTGTTTCTCTAGAGTCGGTCGAGTCAACCAGCTTGTATCCATTAGGCTGGAGGCCACCGCTAGTAGGAGCGATCGGACGCTACGAACGGGGCTCCTGGCCTTACTACGAGGAACAAAGACGCTACTAGGAACAAAGCACATCGCTACTAGGAGCGATCGGATGCTATTAGGCTGGAGGCCATCGCTCTTATTATCCGTTGTTCCAGGTTGGTCGGTCGGATTGACTGTGGCCAGCTGAAGGTCTAGAGACCTTCAGCTGGCCACGCATGAACTGACAGCGATGTCCATGCCATCACTGTGAACTATAGGTGTTACCATCTGATGTTAGTCAAAAACTGGAATAGGGTGCAGTTGCATTGAATCATTGCTTGGATTTGCTTTGCCTATGTCTACCCGGTGTCATAGCGTTCATGCCAATAGCCGCAATGAACTCCAAGTGATGCAACCACTGGCTCCACCCAGGCAGAATTCATCCCGCTGTGAGTCTTTCTTAGTGGGGTGAGGCGGCCAGGTCTGCCAGGTTGTGCCCCCTTCAGCCCAGTGCACGCCAGCATCGAGCGTATCACAGAGCAAGCCGCGCCATGGCCTGAGTGCAAATCGATTGACAAACTGGTGAAAAACAAACTACTAGCGATGGCCACCCAAACCTAATGATGATAGCCTCCAACCTGATGGCCTCCACCCTAGTAGCGATGGCCTCCTACCTACTGGTGAAAAAACAAACTCAGAATATGCACCTGAAAAGTGGCTGTTCAGCCAGATCCAACATTCCATGATTCCATATGATTCCATGATAGATTTCTGAACAAGCCGCACTGTCGATGATATGGTACTTCGCGACAAATATTTGCTTTGGCCGGCCAATCTACTGCTTGAATGACCACGAGAAGCCGGACTCGCCCGGTCGCTAATGGACCAAGCAACATGACAGTTAACAGTTAAGACGGTCCTTTACACTCTGACTCACTGACATGGAAGTGGATGGCATTGGTGCTCACTACTTTCCCCAACAGGGGCTTCTCCATTTTCATTTTAGTGAGTCGGAGTGTAACTCTCCTTTTCCTTCTATACGTCCGTCTCACTTGTTCACAAGCTACGAATAAAATCCAGGCAGGTTCAGACAGGTTGATACCTAGTTGGACACTTTGCATCGAGTATGTGGCAAGGATGTGCATGTCATGGGTTTCTCCTCAAATCACACTCAACTAAGCGAAGCCATTGGATGGTACCCCACTGTGGTTCCGTCGAACTGCCACTGGTCCTGTCGACACCACCGGCGGCCCGACGCAAAGCATTCACATTCGTCAGAGCAATAGCCACGTCCTGCAGTTCTGGCCGACGAACGGAGCGATCGGACGCTACGAACGGAGCAAAGGGCATCGCTACTAGGAACAAGTGCATCGCTTCTAGTAACAAGTGCCTTACTAGTAGTAACAAGAAAGCTATTAGGATGCTTTTGATCGGAGATGTTCTGCATGTCCGAGGACCGAAACAACCATTGGTGGGATTGCACCCAACCTGAGGGGTTCGTAGTGGCGATGGCCTCCAACCCTACTTGTTCCTAGCAAGAAGCTTCCTAGTAGTACGGCCAGGAGCCCCTAGTAGCGTCTTTGCTCCTAGTAGCGATGCCAGGAGCCCCTAGTAGCGTCCTTGCTCCTAGTAGCGATGCCAGGAGCCCCTAGTAGCTACTTGTTCCTAGTAGTACTTGCAAATATGTATATAATATTTGGGAAAGCCCACCTCAGGGTTTCGTAGAGGCCTGCGCTTACCTAATTGGGACCTAGGGCAGTCTTGTGAGGGATTCTCTACAATCCCAGCGGCGCCTGTCTTCGACAGTTCCAAGACCACACCTGGCCATGGCCATTCCACTCTTGGCTGAACTCACTCTTTTGGCAAAGCGAGTTGCAAACTAACCTGAAAAATCTTGCACAGCTAACTTCACTGTTGAATGGAACTTACACATCAGCTTTGGTCCTACAAAAGTAAAATGGGACGATGAGCCTTCCAAAAACTGTCCTTGTCACTTTCCTTGGCTGAATCGCTGCCTCCACAAACCCATCAGTTGGTGCAAAGGCCCTTCACGAGCCCACCGTCGCACCTGGCAACACGGGCTGCCGCAACACCTTGGCCCAACCGGTGAGTTCGGTGAAAAGCCCTTCTTTCTCATGTGAGTTCCCCAACACATCCCCAAACCAGGTCAGATTGTTCTCCTCCCCCTGGTATTGACGACTCTCTTCTTCTTCCAGGTCTTCAACTAAGGGCTAAATGACTCTGACCACAAATCCCCTCCAAACGACTCAAGGTGCGTCTTTTAAGGGGGGGAGGCCATCGCGGCCATCGGGTGGAGGCCATTTCTATTAGGTTCCTGGTCACTTAGCGAGGGCTCTCAGCTGCTGTCATTTCACTCCAACGAGCTTCCAAACCCACTGGACACGTTGCCGCCGCAAGTCAATGCCCTCCATGGCCTCGGACGAGAAAAGCGAACGGAACAACGGCGCTGAGACATCCTGAGACACCCCTCCAGCCAAGGGCCATACAGCCAAGGCCAGTCTTTACAGATGTCGAAGGCAACAAGACCAGCTTCGAAGGCACCAACTCTTTTTCGGCCAACCTAAGCCTAAGCCTCCGCTGTTACGAAAGCGCCCCCCCCGCGTGGCGTCGTCCAGTCGTCGTGTTGAACGTGTTCATCTGGTCTTTGGAACGACGGTTTCTGCGAGAAACCACTGAGAGTGTAGACCGGATGGTTCGAATGGGATAGACCGGATCAACCAATGCAGGACCCCAAAAAACAAGGATCGCCTGCAGGAATAGGAGCCAGCTGAACGTCTAGCTGGATCTCAGTTTTTTTACTTCCGCGTCTGAGACCGAAAATGCTGAGCTGTTTGGAGTATTCTGTTGACTCGACTGTTCCAGACCCTTTTTTTCCTCAGCACTTGAGAAGCGCTCATTCTGGGTCCCTCGCCAAACCTTGAGCCCATGAAGTGCGCCTCAGACGCGTTCGGTTCGGTTTCCAGTTCGGCTGCATCACTCGTTGGTTTCAGTACCAGTCAAGCAAGCAGAATTCTCCTTCAAAGTGCTAGGAAGCAAGCAAAACTCATTTTGTCAGCACCATCGAGAGATTCCTGAGCCTTTCAAGCATCAAACCGCCACAAACCGAAAACCTTGAAAATACTGTCCGAATTCGCCTGCTCCCACAGCGCATGTAGGCCTGAGAAAACGTCTTCAAGACTGACTGTATCATTACTTCACTAAGCTCCATAGGCTGCATAGATGTGTTGCATATTGATCATCTAGCATTTCTAGCATCCTGCTGAGGCACACAAAGACTTGACATCATGAAGGACTTGAGTTTCTGTAACAATGTTAACATAAGAATACATAAGAAAACAAACTAGTAACAAGGGAATTGCTACTAGTAGCAAGGGCATCGCTACTAGTAGCTAATTTGTGCACAAGAAGGGCCGAAAGGCTTTGAAGATGTCCAATACGCCCTCTGAAGCACGAATGAAAAGTCCGGCAAAGTCCGAGAGACAAACACGATGAAATGACCCGCCAAGAACACAGAAAACGAAACATATAGTCACCATAGCCTCCGAGGTCCGAGCAATAATCAAGACTCAAGACAATGGCTCATTCATCAGCGTGTTTTTTTTCGACTCTCCCACCACGAGGGCAGACAGACAGACGGACGACGGCGCCAAACACACATGTCCCTTCTGTGTTTTTTCAACAGATGTGACTCAGATGTGTTTCCCTTCTTGTTTCTAATAGCGATGGCCTCGAACCTAGTAGCGATGGCCTCCACCCTACTAGGAAAAAGAAAGGTCCCAACAGTTCCCGACGTTTGGGATCAAAACATGTCAATGATGGAACCACTTTCACCTCGCCTGAGCTGCAACGGACGCCTCATCGTCTCGTTTCACTCTCCCAGCCTCTTCTGCTTGGAGCTCTTGCGCAGCCAAAAAGCTGCAGCTGGCCTCCTCGGCGGCCGCCTGTGACTCCTCACGAACTGCAGTTGGGCGTCGGGCGTCGTCGAGCTGATCCGAGACTCTCAGATTGTAGATCTGCGTGCAAATGCACATGAAGCCCAGTCATGGATGTCATGGATGTTTAAATCCTATGTTCAACTGGAGATACACATATAATATATAATAATACAATACACTACAGTATATTTGTTTTAATATGATGTACTACATTGTGCCTCGCTCTGAGGTCCACCTGTCTATCGGGGATTTCCCAACCGTTGGCACAAACAAGTCACTTGTGCGGCAGAATGGACACAGCTCTGAAGGGCTTCTCAGCCATGTGAGTCGACGACAAGCCTGTAATTATGTCATGATGTGAACCTGGATGAAGGAGGACATCCTAGACATCCGGCAGATGTAAATCGACATGTGGAAATGGAGTGTAGACGACCTGGAACAAGATGACAAAATCTTCCACCACTCAGACTCAGGAAAGGTTTGATCCCTTTAGTTTTCACTCACCATGATCATCATCGATGTCTCAGCGTCTTCAGTGGTGACACCTCCTCCTGCCGAAACCTCACGCCGTCTCCTCTTCATCCATGGCTCCAATGGCCAGCCAGCGCTCATCTGGGACACCGAACTGGCACGCCAAGGCCACTGGGCTCAAGAAGCAAAAACTGTCTCTTCTAAACTATTTGAAAAAGCTCCGTTCGTAGCGTCCTTGTTCCGTTCGTAGCTTCGGCCAGGAGCCCCTACAGTAGTAGCGTCCGATGGCTCCTAGTAGTGATGGCCTTTGCTCCTAGTAGCGACTGTCTCTGCTTTCCATCAAACAGGTTTTACAAAGATCGCTTTTGGATGAGTGAGTGGCTTGTCTGAGGACATCAGCTGGCAGGCACTCGTGGTTCACTTGTTGCTCCATCTGACTTTCATGAGTTGGCTTATGTTGCACAACTTGTCAACAAGACAAGAACTTGCAAGTCCAGTGGGTTGAGAAACTTGAACATGAATTCCTGACAGCCCATTGCTTGTCGCTCGAAGCTCGTTGATCCCACACTTTCAGGATCAGAGTGAGGGACAAGACTGAACCTCCCTCTAATCACTCTAATCCTTCCAATCCATCCCACAGACTAACTCCAAACCTTCGCTTCCCCTCCGTGCTCCTGCTCCAACGAGAACAGGCTCGCTGCCAAGGGAGAGCAGAACCAGCCACCTCGCCAGGCCTCGTCCGCTCCGTCATGTCGGCCGTCAGCCATGGCCGGTGGGAGACTCCTGGTACTCGTGGTACTCGTGGTACTCGGATGGACGGGGCTTCCAAAAAGGACACCGATGAACCCTTCGTGGTGCGGCATCCTCAAGAGTGCATCCACGAAGATCAGGGACGTCACTTGGATTGAGTGGCAACCTTGGTCGAACCTGAGACTTGTTCAAATTGCGAAAGTGCGCTGGCCACCTTTCTGCACTGCTAGGACTCGGAGGATAGTACACGTAAAACATGGTTTTGGCATGTTTTGGACATAGTAAGGATTCCATCTCTCCCTGTTCATGCACCTGCAAGTACATGATCAACCCATGATCGCCCCAGTGAAACCATCGCCGCAACCCACATGCACGAGAGCGCCTCTTGCAGCTACACACCCCCCGTGTGAGCCAGGCACTGCTACCAAAGTGGCTCAACCACCGAAGAATTATTCAACTGGACCCCAAGTTCGTTTGGCATCGTGCCGAGCCACCGATCTCAGCCCCTTCTCGGTTCCCACGCTTCAAACTCTGCTACATGTCCAGGCTCCTGAAAGGGCGAGCTTTTTCGACGTTGAAATGGCCCATGTACCAAAGGTATCCAAAGGTCCTAGCAGAACATCAGTTCATGTCTGGTCAAAGACCTGCACAGCTGAAAACCCGAAGAGTCTACCTCCACCACTGCCATGGCTTCAAGTTGTTGGGGCTCCGTTTAGCAATGCATCTGACCACAAGAAATGCATAGAAATGCCTACGAATCGAACCTGGACCGACGTGGAGCTTTGCCATCTTCTCTGCTTCTCTGGTGATCGTGTCAAAACCAGGCGAACTCGTGGGAACGAGCAAGAACCTCCATCGAGATGGCGCCCTTCCTCCAGCTGCAGCGCCCGGAAGAGGCTTTGATGTGCGAAGACCGCAAAAAGGTGCTCCTCAGAGCGCAGGTGCAGAACATCTCAGCTTTGATTATCAGGGCAGTGGAAGCTCCAATCTCAGCTTCTCTCAACTTCTCGAGATCCTTTGGGTGCAAAAGAGGGCAACTGGCCAAACGTCCGGTTGCATTGAACTGCTCCAATCCCACAGCATTCTTCTATAGGATCTTGAAGAAGAACATCGGAATGGATTGGATGGATTGGTGTCTTTGGGTTTGTGCGATTGGGATGGCAGGTTTTCGGAGGCCGATTGAACTTGGAGAGAGCGGTGAAAGGGAGCGACACCCAGTATCCCATATTGCCTTTTCGAGGGATGCCATCCTGGGATGCCGAAGTCGGATGTGAGGGAACACCAGAAAAGGCGTACACCGTGCATCTATATCCCAGCCTTATCAGTGGATCACGATGCTTGGATTCCAAAAAGTTGTGATACATCTGAGCCGACTGTTCGTGAGCATCAGGAATGCAGAACCATTCTTGATGCTTGTCTAACCTGGATTTCTGTTGACAAAAAACAATGTCTACACTGCTCACATACACCCCACCCAAACAAAGGATATGTTTTATATTTAAAAAAGTATGTAAATATATAACTTAATGTGGAACTGAGAGTTCGGTATACCCAGCACCTATAGTGACCTAGTTGCGACTTGATCGCCCGGTTCAATCCAAGCGGCGACCTGCAGCAGGCGATACCGGCTCAACATCTTCGTGACCTCCAAACGGCCGAAACGGTGGACGGTGGAGAGTGGACGAGGGATGTCCTTCACGTGTGTTTTGGAAGAGCGAACATAAGGAGGACATCTCCATGGCATCTGGACCATGAAACTTTGGGCTTTGCTTCGTGTTTCGTACTCAAGACCTGCGGATGTTCGAGTACTCGAGTTCGCCAGAGTTGGACTCCCAGGTGTGTTGTTTGCCCTACGGGGTTTGGGTGTCCAACCGCGTGGTTTTCAGTGTCTACCGTTCCAGCTCGCACGCCGTACCTGGCCCGACGTTCCACCTCTCATGTACATGGCCTGACCTATGCCCACCACACCTTCATTGTTGCTGAATCCTTCATACCTTCATAGCCCCCCCCAAAGCACTTGGACCGAGAAAATGGCCCCCAAAACGTCCATGTCTCCGCATATCCTGACCTGGGACAGGGAGCACTGCGCCAAGATGTGGCTGGTCATCGAACGAACCGCCCAGGCATCAGGCTCCTGCAGTTCGAACGAACCGGCAGATCGACGGCGAAAAAGGCGTTCCGGGCTCCGCCCCGCCCCAAAACGGCCGAGCGCTCCGAACAGGCAGGGGGGGTGTTCGCTGGGTGGCATCTCTCTGCACCGACAACTCCCGAAAACCAGTGCAGTCGAACTTCGGTACCGGACTCCTGCATGGTCGGCACCGGCTGGCAGCCGTGGCCATTGAAATGGGAAACGATGCTCTTTCGTTCTTCAGCTCCTTCAAAATACAAAAGAAAAAGGAATGTTCACTGCCCGTCGCTACCCAAACTGACTTAGAGTCTTGTGTGTTCACCAAATGATGAACTTAACTTGTCCGGCCCAATCAACCAAGGACTCTGGTAGCTTGGAACATCCCTCATGTCTATCCCGGCACCAGGCACCCGGTGGAGGACGACACACCCTTTCGTGTGCCACACGAATCCGCCTCAGTGTGGGAGTCCATGACTTTCTGACCTCAGAGGTTGCGAAGAGTCTGACCATTGAAAGTGCGCTTTGAAAATGCCGGGTGAGAAACTGATATGACATCCAATAACGTACTTTATATAATAACTATCCCGCCCTGCCAAGCCTTGCGCTTTCGGTGTAAAGAAGACCCAAAAAGGGCTCCGCGTGGTCGGTCAGTGGATCTTCTTTATAAGCTCAAAGTTCAGCTAGTGACTACAAACGGTCAGGAGCGAGTAGCCTTTGTCGTGAAGGGGTCCCATCATGTAACATATAACAAGTGCCACGCTACTAGTAACAAGTGCCACGCTAGTAGTAACAGGTGCCTTACTAGTAGTAACAAAAAGCTATTAGAATTAAATTAAATAGCTTTCTTGTTACTACTAGTAAGGCACTTGTTCCTAGTAGCGATGCACTTGTTACTAGTAGCTTCTTGTTACTTTATATATGTCTATATCTCAATCAAAAGGGTCCCTGCACTTCACAAAAAAGAAAACACCAGTAGGACTTGGCTGAAAAAAAAAAACAAAACAGTCAGCCAGGCCTGCCAGGAACGTGAAGAGTCTCAAACAAGAAGCTACTAGGGCCTTAGGGGCTCCTGGCATCGCTACTAGGAGCAAGGACGCTAATCATTCTACCCTGAAGAACGGCAACCAACGGCCCACCACCTCCATGGGCCCCGGCTCAACGTCTGGTGCTTCTGCCTCAGTCGAGGGCAACTCAACCACGTCGAAACCCAGAGTTGGGCCATCGACTCAGCACCTAAGCCTCCAGGCCTCGAAAACTGGTGCAATTTGTAGGAAAACCCTGAGTAAGTTCCTAAGGAAGTCACGTTGGACGCAGGGAAAACTTGGGTATGACTGACGACAAGCCATGTATGACGTATTTGTCCAGTCAGACTTTGCTTGAGCCCCATGTGGGAGCGCCCTCATACACTAAGATGCCAAGCCATCTTGCATTTCGGTCCAAAAAGCCTCGACCTCTCGCCAGGCCGATTTCCAATGAGTCACCAGGGAAAACCTGGGAATCATTCACTTCCAGCAATGGCTTCCAACCGCAAAAGGAACCGATGGCCGCAATGTCCAACCGATGGCCGCGATGGCCTGTAAAACATTGCCCATCCAGCTACATCGGTTCAGGCGTTGTTTTTCGGCTTGCAAGACCTGTCCACCTGCTTGGCGGATCTGTCCTGCAGGTACCCTAAGAGGTTCGATTTGTTTGGCACTTCGATTTGTACAGAAAGACTACCCGTTCTGAAAGAACCTGATCCTTGTCAAAGAGAAAGAGTCAAGCTAAAGGCAACAAATGCCGCTGTGCCAGCTCTGCCTGCTGTATTTATTGTTCAAGGGATTTGGTAGATTTGGGGGAGCAAACGTTCTTCAAGAGACACCATGGCTGCTCTGTCGTTGAGCGATCTTGGCTGCAGAAACTCCTTCAAAAGAGGAAGAACATGTAAAGGACAAGGAAGAAAGGTAACAAAAACACTTGTAAAAAAATACAATAATAAAGAATACCGACCAAGACCCTTCACCCAGCGCTCTTCTTCCCGCCGCGTACACAGTGCACGCTAGAACCTAGATTGTTTTGAAGTCCCCACCGTAAAATTATTCTGGTTGGCTTTAACTGGGCCAAGTAAAATCAACACAAGTCCCAGATTCTCCAAATAACTCTTCTGTAAATCCCTCTTTCCCACATGACAAGCACGAAGGAGGTGATTTTGGACTCATTTGACCATCCGAGGAACGAAGCTCAACTATATAACCGAGCTCCCGGCCAGTGACGAACGAAGTCGGGTACCACAAGCATGGGCGGAGGCAGCAAGGGGTTGATGCCCACGTAGAGCCTCAGATTTCAGCCATGTCAGGCCGTCTTCATCCGGTTGAGTCCGGAAAGCTCCAGTAGTACTGGACGCTTCATCCGAAAAAGAAGGAACTTCAGTCGGATCATGATCCCGAAATGGATAGAACAAATGCGTCTTCTTTCACAAGATGTACTGTGGAACAGTCTACTTGGGACCACTGACCAGGTGGGAGTGATTAACTGTCTGCCACTCTACGCATATTCAAGGCTCTAACAGGTAGAGCCTTAGAGAAAGAGCCAAGAATCCTCCATTCCCCACCGATGCATTGGAGCGAGACAATTCTATGGGAGGTAAAGCAAGTGAAGACTATTGCACCGCAAGAAGTTGCAACTGCTGCTGACCACGAGCCAACGTTGCTCATTTGTAGCTGTCTCCTGAATGAAGTTTCCACAATGAAAAAAATCAGCTAATCTCCATTCCGCCCTTTGTATCCTTCCACATTGATGATCTGAATCTTGCTCAAAGCAATCATGGCAAAATTGAAATGGTGACTGAAAAAGTGGTTCCCCAACTCAAGCAAATTTGAGTACAAAGAGTCCCTTGAAAGTTGGGGAAGACCTCATGATTGCCAGGTCTTTGGCAACACCTCTTAATACAAGTAACGAAGCAGCAGCATTCATATGCTGCTTTTACACATTCCTTTGCAAAGTCTTCGAACCCAGGCTCTTCAAACCCGGCCTCACATGGCCATGTGCCACTCAGTCAAGTCTTTCAACGGTTCTGATTCGCCAGTAGGTTGGAGGCCATCGCCATTAGGTTGGAGGCCATTGCTACTAGGTTGGAGGCCATTGCTTGTTTCCTGACCTCTGTCTCCTCCCAAACCTCGCCGTTGCGTCCCCAGGGGCAGCTTCGGCAAATCCTCTACGCGCGGAAGACCTGGGCAGCGACGTCGAAAAGGTCCCCCTAAAAGACTTCAAGATTCCTGTCACCTGCAATCACAGCTTGGCTGCCTTTCAAGCGGTCAGGCAAGTTCAACAAAGGAAGACCGTTCGCTTTACTCATTTGGAACTCCTACTGCAACCATGATTTCGCTGCGTATCCCCAAAACTCGTTGGAACCGTTGCTTTACTTGTTGTTTTCAGATTCCGTGTGAGATAAAGATCCCGCAAAATCATTGCTTCATGTTCTTTTCGAAACAAGGCCCTGTGAACCTTCTGTGGCAGACACCAATCGGCCAACACGCAGACTGGCCAAACCCATCCGTTGAACCAACATCCTCACACTTCTTGATCACCTGGACCACTTTCTTCACCAAATTCGCATGGTGACGACGATGCTCGGTGCTCCCCCCAGCGCTTCGGATGAATCATAGTTTCTAGCCACTAGTAGCGTCCTTTGCTCCTAGTAACGATGCCCTTTGCGACTAGTAGCTTCTTGTTCCTAGTAGTAAGGCCAGGAGCCCCTAGTAGCGTCCTTGATCCTAGTAGCGATGCCCTTTGCTCCTAGTAGCTTCTTGTTACTAGTAAGGCCAGGAGCTACTAGTAGCGTCCTTGCTGAAAGTAGCCATGCCCTTTCTTACCAGTAGCTTCTTGTTCCTAGTAGTAAGGCCAGGAGGCTCTGCAGAAGCGAATCGAGCAAGGCGCAATTCCCAGCCTTGGATGGTGAGTCAGCTCGCACCGGAAGAAACGATGAGAATGAAATACCTCTCATGCAGCATGTGGTGTCTACGATCCATATAAGCAGAGATCTTGGGCGCAAGAGTCTTGACGTGCACACCCCTCAAACCGCAACATCAGAACCCAATGTGCCCAGTCTTCCCGCTGAAAGGCTTTAAGTCATCCTCGGGTTATATAAATAGAATATGAAGAACTCAAAATCAAGAGTCATTCGTATCTTCCCCAGCTAGGCCAGCTGAATTCACTCAACTCGGTCACTGTTCTTGGGTCTCGTTGCATATCACTTTTTTTGGCATTCTGCTGCCAGGCCACCATGGGATGCACGAAAAGCACATCTGCAGCTTCCTGCAAAGCACAGCTTCGGCGATGGAATGCAGCAAAACTTGGATGCGTACCCCACGTGTTTGCAGGGCTCGGGTTGGAGGGCTAGGGTACGGGTACCCTGTAAGGTGGCACCAAAACCTGCTCCCGACTCCATGTCATTCTCTTGACAGCTGCGAGAAAATCCACCCTGAGCAGGAAGAGAAGGCGCTTTTGGGGTGCAATCAACGACCGAAAAGGTGATCACACATCCTGCACCCTTACTACTAAGAACAAGAAGCTACTAGTAGCAAAGGGCATCGCTACTAGGAGCAAGGCCACTACTAGGGGCTCCTGGCCATACTACTAGTAACAAGAAGCTACTAGGGGCTCCTGGCCCATGCACCCATGCACCCATCTGGCACCATCATCTTAACTCCGATCCCAGGTGGCACAGGGATTCTGATAGAATTGCTCCAGTGGGGAGGGGGGAGTTGTGGTGAAGAGTATGTTAGAACCAAGCGGGCAAGCGAGCAATGGCCAGCAAGTCTACGAAATGTGGTGACACACCCAGCGGCTAAGCTGGTAATTAGATTGAGCCAATTCTACCAGGGGCAAGGATGCTACTAGGGGCTCCTGGCATCGCTACTAGGAGCAAGAAGCTACTAGGAGCAAAGGGCATCGCTACTAGGAGCAAGGACGCTACTAGGGACTCCTGGCCTTACTACCCTGGGCAAGCCAGACACCCCATACCTAATCAACTTCGAATTTTAGGCCTGGTCAAGCCAGTCATTCTACTGCAATTCTTATATTGATTGATTCAAAACAACGTCTGTATGTTTATTTGCCTACTTCTGGGATATCCCAACAGCTGAACATAGCTGTGCAAAGTGGTCTTCTTTACCCACAAGAATCCATGGATTCCGCTGCAAAAGGTTTTCCAGTTCTTATCTACAAGAATCCCCCATGTTCAATCAATGTGGTCAACAAATGTTCAATCCACACATCTTCTATAGCAACTGTACTTCTAGGTTGGAGGCCATCGCAAGTAGGAGCAAGGACGCTACTAGGGGCTCCTGGCCTTACTACTAGGAGCAATGTTCGCTACTAGGAGCAAAGGCCATCGCAAGTAGGTTGGCTCCAGTAGGCTATTCGCTCCGTGCGCCACGCGTTGGCGCCAGGCGTCGCCCGCCTCCACTGGCCACGTCACCGGCTTCCGGAGCGACACGCCGGGCGCCTCGGGCGACCGGTGCAGTCGGCAGGGATGAGGAGGTTGGAGATGAGTCATATGAGTTGATCATATTGGTGAGCTGAAGAAAAAGATCATCAAACCCATCCAACAAGAAGTTGAGAATCATTTTCACGAGCTTTCAGATTGATGGTTGAGAATCATTGTTGATGATCATGAAGGATGCGAGTTGATGTTCAGTAACCTGAACAAGAATCCTTCTCCTAGCAATGGATGTGTTCTAGTGAAAAAACGTGCTCCATCTGCCATAGCCAACGCTGCAAATTGGTGGAGTACTCCAAATCTGAGATGGTGCAGGAGATCACGTTCAACTGCAGAGGAAATGGTCGCAAGTTGAAGGTCTCAATTTCGAACCGGGTATTGACAGTCTGGGCATGTTCAAGCGAGAATCACTGAAACTCACGTGCCGGTGCCCTTGAATCGCGTTCTCACCGACTTTCTATGTCCGATGTGCTTTTGACAGACCCCTTCTCTTGGCCTTGTGGGACTGTCCCAACGAGTGCTCATCAAGTAGATGTCTCCAGGTTTGCACCATCCAAGTTTGATTTGCCGAACAAAGCTGGATTGCAGGGCTTGGCAGCGCGATGCAGCGCGAAGGGCATCTTTAAGGTGGCCTATCACGAGGTCCTTAACCTGATGTAAAGGTGGACACTTGTTGCTCTCCTAAGTGCGCAAAGCAATGCACGGCTTCAAAGACATGGCACAATATTGTGCATGGCCGATGGTCAGCTTGATCCTCAAATTACTCAAAGCTCACAGAGTCACCATCAACTCAGACCTCCAAGCCTCTCCTCTTCCCGCTCAGTCAGCCTACTTTGGCCCGTTGGAGCTTTGAGCCCTTTGATGTGCTAGACCAAACAGCTGCCGCTGTCGCGGATGTCGTGCCCGCGACGTGGATGAAGCATGATCAAGCTGACAGGTCGGGTTCCCTGTCGGGTTCCCTGTGGGGGCCTGGGAGCGAAAAAGCCCAAAGAAGCGGGTGGAAAAATCGGTCTTCTAGGCACATTCCCAGGAATCATGGAATCTGGATGGCATGGCCTCTTGGAAGACCCCTTTCCTCAACAAACAAAGGCGGAAAAAGGCCACTTCTATGATGATTTTAGGGAGTGTAGATGGTTTCATCGGCTATTAGGTTGGAGGCCATTAAGATGTCTATATTTACTTGAATAAAGCATGGTTCCAAAAAAAAAAGGATTGGATTTAACATCGAGTGTCGTCCATTCACTTCTTCCAGGACCTTTGACCATTTTGACCTTCCAGCACGAATCCTCGAAAGCCTTTCCGCTACTCCCAAAACACAAAAAAAAGTATGCTTCACATGATACTAGATCCTGTAAATGGAACTCATTTTCCATTAAAAACCGGAGACCATCTGAACCCGCAACCACTAAGCATCCTGACGTGCAACTCCTGAAAAGCTTCGAAGATCGCTTGGCCCTGGCGAAAAGTGGACCGGCGGACTCAGGCGGAGGTGGAGCTGAACAGCTTGGGGCAGTAGTAGCATTCTTGCTATTAGGAACAAGGTGCATCGCTACTAGTAGCAAGAAGCTACTAGTAGCATTCTTGTTCCTAATAGTAATGCCAGAAGCCCCTAGTAGCGTCCGATCGCTCCTAGTAGCGATGCCCTTTGCTCCTAGTAGCTTCTTGTTACTATGCCTGGTCAGGAGAAAATTGGAAAACGTTGATGGTCGTTGGCAGAAACTGTTGGTTTCAGGAAAGGTGAGCTTCCACTGTTGGTCCATGAGCTTCTCTCAGTTTGAAACCAAACAAAAGTGGGGAGGTTGGGGGAGGCCCTCTTGCTGAAACCATCCCTGTAGAGGTCACTAAATAGTTAGATAGTTTCAATTAGTTTCATGAGTTTCATGATGTCCTATCGATGTTGTACAAGGATATGTTTGTGACCGTCCAAATTGTGTGTGTGCCACCTTTGTAGCTTGGCTAAGCAAATACGTGTTATTAAGAAAAGACCCTGGCAATCCCCTTCTAACCATGGCCGCTCACCAGGGGCAACCTGGGCTGTGGGTCAGCTGATGAACAATCACAAATGAATCCTGTTGAAGGCTTTACAATCGCACACCTTACAAGATCTCTTCCATCCATGCAGTATTTCATCAATGGGTTCTCAGTCTGACTCCTGGTTTCCTGCAGTTGTTTCAACCTACTGTGCTTCAACATAAAGCGCGCGACCACAGGGCAAGCAGCCCGACACACCAGTTGAAAGGACGTATCTATAACTGTTGGGACCTGGAGCTTCTGGAACACGTTCCGCTTCTTGGGGGACGATCTGATCAAACGACCGATCTGACGGGTCTCGGCCGCTTTGGGAGAGCCGCTGGTTTTAGGCCATTCGTTTTTTGGTTTTGCGCCATTGGTTCTAGGAGCCCCTAGTAGCGTTCTTGCTCCTAGTAGTAAGGCCAGGAGCCCCTAGTAGCCTCCTAATGGAATGTTTTATTTAAAGACATCTATCCTGACTTGCCAATCCCCCGGAGTGGGGTCCTGCCGAATCGCTCGTGAACGAAAGAAAACCGCACGGAGCTCCAGCGCTCGTTGTTCTCAACGCTCCAGCGCTGGCTCCCGTTGGCGGCTCTGCAGGGCGCGCCCAAGCGCGCCGCACCCCGTGAGGCAGCGCCAGCAAACGATCGCGAGGAACAACCAATAGCGAATGGACTTAGTCGGCGTGTTTTTGTGGCAAGAGGGCTGTCAAGGAGCCAGCACACCAACTCTGATTCAAGTGGTATTGTTCAACCATCTTCAAGCTCTATCTTGTATGTGGTCTGCTTCTCAAGTCTTTCTCACCCCCATGAATGGCAAGTTGGTCCAACTTTGGAAGCCTTCAACCCCGGCAATCAAGACTTTCTACTAGTAACAAGTGCATCGCTACTGGGAACAAAAACGCTACTAGGGGCTCCTGGCCGTACTACTAGTAACAAGAAGCAAATACTAGCGATGCGCTTGCTACTAGTAGCGATGCTTGTTACCATGGCAAGCACTTATTTCCGTTGGTCTACCCCCCCTATCGGCCAGCCAATTCCAATCCGAATCCCTTGTTGGTATCCGTATGATCTTGCCAGCCTCCCAAAAAAACAATCGATATATAGTCTATATTGCAACTAGTAACTAGCCTTCAGCACGGACCCAAAAGACGCCGACACCGATGGGCCGAACTGCATCGCCTCTCTCTCCCGAGCAGCTAGGGATAGGAACACGGCCTCCAAGCTCCAGTTGAAATGGGTGGCTGCCATCAGCAGCAACACCTCTCGGAGCGAAGCAGCACATCGGCACATGCATCTGTCATGGTGATGGCGTGTTCGGATGTGGGCAGTGACTGATGGCGTCGCTTCTGGTCAGAATGGTGGGAAGTCCAAGATGGACCAGAAGTGGAGTGTTTCGTTTCAAAGTTGAGGTGAGAGCGTTATGAGTCCTCTGTGTTTGGGTTCACCCTCCCAAAAGACCCGCCACACACCCAATGGCACATCTCACCACACTGTGTGCTGGTGGGTCACTGTGCGGGTGCTGTCACGTGTTTGCCAGTGCCAAGCTGCAAACTGGACGCAAACCAGACTAAGCCCTGGTTATAGAAAGGTTTGTGAGTGGCCGGTAGTTGAATTTTTGATTCTTTGGGTGTGTGGTCGGTTGAAATCCCACGGGTTGTTTGTGAGCTTTTGTTTCGGAAAATCCCGTCTTGGCAAAGTACCCAAGAAATCCCTTGGGTTGACAACATCTGAGTGGGAGAGCACTGACTTCGCTGAAGTTCATGTCGCCACCCAAGACTTGAAGCATCAAACTCTCGAATCACCATTGACCATCTACCTCACCACAGTCGCAGCAGCTTGCAGGTCCATCTTCGGTCCAGTCGCTAATCATCTCAAGCAGTTTAGTTCAGCACGGACTGCAGCCAGCCTGGAAGGAGGTCGCAACCACTGTGATTTTGATGACAAGCGGGAACCTGAGCAACACGACCCGGGCCCGCTGGTGGTGGATCTGGCAGTCTGGGCCATTGGACTACCTCCCTGCGCAAGGGAACTTCGAGTACACAAAACTGACTTGGACACCCTACATTCCTACATCACCCCACACGTGCCTGTCAGGGACCAAGTGAGAAGTACCGGCTTTCCCATTTCTGGCCGCTTGGTTCGTGGAGAATGATCCCACTGAATACAGGACAAGACTCTCCCGAGCAGCCAGCATCGCACCATCACCTCGGCAACAGGATGAACCACCCACTTGAGGCATCTGTCCGGCGCTTTGGTTGAGAAGGGCCTCGAACCAAGGGATTTGGGGTGTAGTCCAGAAAGACCTGACTGATGTGTGTTAAGCCCTTCGTTTGCAAGATGTTGAGTCCGTTACAACAGCTGACATCCTCACAACACATTCATGAAACATCATGAAACCATAAAACTGTTGTGTTTGGCACATTACCCCGTCTTCTCCCGTCTTCAACCATAAGAATCATCGACTCTGTTCCGAGTTGACCACCAAAGGAATCGCAAAAAAAAACTCCAAGCTCAAGGATATGATAATAACAGAACACATTGGACATCACACAGAACACAAATAACATTGATGCTTGTGGTTATCCGTCCAGATCACCAAAATGACTGCCATTCACCCTGATGTTCGACGTCCATCTCCATTTCAAGTCCAAGCCGCACACTTGTGACAAAATCAAGGACGCAACGGTCACAGGTACCTGAGAACAGGAAACCCGTTTCGTGCCGGACACCCGCCCCAACGGGGGTTTAGCCGGACCAGCGTTTGGCCAGCTGTACCAATGCTCGCCTGTGATCGCGTGCCATCGCTTGCTGCCAGAAGCGAACTAGATCATCAACCAAACTCATCCCTGAAACCCAAACAAAGCAACTCGCCAATCTCCTACCAAACTTTTCTGAGCAGGAGGTTGAGCTCCTCATCAGTTCATCCAAAGCTGTTGCATTGAGCCCTGCTTACAAGGCCTCCGTCAGGAGGTTCGCCACTGATCAAATCAAAAGCTGTGCACAATGGGGCTTGAACTGGGGCGTTGAACAAGGCTAGCTCCTACTTCTCGTGTCCCCTTCAGCCACCCATGGTTCCCCATGGTTCTTAAAGAGTTCCTGGATGCGTCCCAAAGCACCATGGTGGTGCCACGCAAAATGCCTTGCACCTGGCGCCAGGGCTTGGATGGGACGTTTCCAGCGAGGGTTCGGTTGAAAAGCCCAGACCCCAATGGATGTTCCACAAACGGCGTAGGAACATCACCAAGTACCAAGTAAAGACCCTTTCGCCAAGTGGCTCGTTGAAGGCAACGACTTCATGAGATTAAAAACACCCAGCAGGCAGAGCTTATAGGCCTCCAACCTAATAGCGATGGCCTCCAACCTAGTAGTGATGGCCTCTACTGCAAGCCTATTCATCCTTCTGTCCTTCTGTTCTTCCCTCGGAAGCCGCGCAGCCCAGGAGCGCGCGCGGTAGGCGCCTGTGGGTCGGTGGTGAAGAGCTGTGCTGAGGCCTTCAACGCCACGGCGCTCAGTAGACCGACACTGCCCGCGATGCCCAGAGCAACCACCTGAGGTCTTTCTCCACGCAGAGCCCGAGATGCCCAGGTGTGAAATTCGGAAATCCCATCGGTGAATTCATGTGAAACTGAAGACCTGGAGTTGACCCTGAGAAGTGTTGCTGCATGTGGAAAAACATGAAAAGTATCATGGAGAGACCTTTGAAACGATTGAGAGATGTTTTCGTCTGCAACCGGAATGCGCATGGGAACTGCAGAGGAATTCATGTGAACCGCATGTTCCTCACGGACATCGATCACCGGTGCACCCGGTTCCTTAGAAAGGTCCCAAAACGTCCAACGAAGTCTCATGTGACTCCTGTGGTAGGGTGGAGATCCTCAAAATTGTAAAGAAACAAGAAAGAAAAGAAAAAAAAATAAGAAACCTAACAGCGATGGCCTCCAACCTACTAGCGATTGCCTGACTAATGTCGCAGTGACACTCAATTCCAGACGTGCTTCTTCCAATTTTACAGTGTTTCAGTGGTTGAATTTGTGGCTGGTGGGAGCTAAGACTCTCAGGAACTGTAGAAAATCTGGGAATGATCGTTCTTCAAGCCCCTGCCATTTACACGAGGTACATTTTAAAGACAAAGATGGAAATGACCGAGTTTAAATTAAGATTCCTCTGAGAACCACTGGCCCTCCTTGGATGCGTCCGTCCAAGCGGCCGCCAGGTTCTTCATCAGCTCTCTGGCCTAAAAGAGAGGTGAACAGGAGTGGAAAAATGGACCAGGAGCCTCTAGTAGCGTCCTTGCATTCAGACAATATATGTGGGAATATGTGTCCGAAAAGGAGGAGCATGAAATGAAGAGCGTTGCTGGGAAAAGCAAAGAGCTTCGACCAAAAACAGCTCAGACGAGCTTGCGACCTTTCAGAGGTGTTCAGCCTCACAGGATACACACCCAAACTCCGTGCCTCGCGAGAGGGCCGGTCCTCGGAGGTCGGAATTCGAAGCTACGAACGGAGCATTTCGGGCATCGCTACGAGTCCGGAGCGATCGCATCGCTACGTTCGGGGCGAAACTGGCCTTACTACGAACGGAACAAGCTACTAGCAACAAGGGCATTACCATGGACTAAGATTTGGCACAGAAGGACAAGCCACGAAATTGAACACCCCGGACGACCTGCGCGGAGTGGCTCTTGAAGCAAGTGACTAGGAAGGTGGCCGATTTGGCCGAGTTTGGGTCTGATTCGGGTCGACGAGAACTCCCTTGTCGAGTGGGCTTGGCTCCACTAAACCTGTCACCAGATGCGATGCGGATTCGGATTCGCGCAAGATCGGATCAGGGCGCTCACTTAAAACGCTCTTGCCAGGGCACCAAGAGGCCGGGCAGCATGGTTTGCGCCGTCTGTGAAAGCGGCTCTCCGAAGAGGCCAAACAGCACGATGACATTTGCCAAGACCTGACAGGTGACCATGCCGGACTAGACTACTAGTAACAAGAAGCTACTAGGGGCTCCTGGCATCGCTACTAGGAGCAAGGATGCTACTAGGGGCTCCTGGCATCGCTACTAAGCCGCTACTAGGAGCAAGGACGCTACGAGGGGCTCCTGGCATCGCTACTAGTAACAAGAAGCTACTAGGGTTGACTGGTGAGTTGGATTGAGTGGTTTTCTCAAGACTGAACCCAACGAGCTGACGGATGCCGTGCACCAGCGGAGCAGGCCCAAATGCACATGCCCAATGGTCTACAAAGATCCAGGTGGAAGCTGAAGCTTCCACGTGGAAGCTGAAGCTCAATCCTCACATGATTGTTTTGTATTCGGGTTGAATACGTTCGTCAGTATCACAGGAGTTCTCTTCTGGATCCTTCTGGTTCCACCGCACACCTGATAGGCCGCCGTCACGGCTGTGCCCATCATGCCCGCGCACTTGGCCATGAAGGTGAGGCTCATGAACCTGCCGGCGAAGTGAACCACATGTGACTCTCACCTGTTGGCGAACGCAGAAAGCAGTGAAGCTCAAACACACGAACGTTAACGCAAAAGAATGTTGATGAAAAATTCTGCAATCTTGCCTACTGCTCTCGGTGAGGAAATGAAAGCAAGCAGGAAGAACTGCAAGGATTCCAAACCGGCCAAGGCTCTGATTAAGTGATTCAGCCGTCTGCTGTTCTGGTATAGTCTAGGTTTTTCAGGTCTCACTGTTTGCACCAAGTGTTCCCCATCCTGCCCAGCCGCCTGAAGAGGATCACCACTGAAAGGGGCTTCGCATACTCCAAGAGCGGTTGCAGCTCTTCGCGTTTTGGCATCGACAAATGCCCCGGCATCAGGCGATTCCTCCGATTCCGGGAAGTGCTTTGTTGGTCGGATTCTTCGGCTGGACGCGTTTGGTAGAGAGAAGTGTCGGTTTGGTGAATCTTCAGTAAAAACAATCGAAGAATTGTTGGACGTCTCTCCCAAAGGGTGAGACATAAGGTGAGCACCGAGCAAGACACACCACATCGAACACGGCGACACCTGCGCAGGGCGCGCCACATCATCCGGAAGCCCATCAGGGTGGAGATGCTCGTGGCCAGCGCGGCGCCGAAAATTCCCCAGTGGAAGGGCCACCTGGAGGACACGAAGATGCGTGTGACAGCGAGTCATTTGGGATCACAGAAAAAGCAGCAACATCCGGCACGCTCAGCAGTCTAAAGACTCCTCGGTCTTCACACAGCTCTAAGAGAACCGGCCGCTGCCGAGCAACGCGCATAAGAAGAAGTCCCCCAGCAGGTTCAGGAGGGCAGCAAAAAGGACCACCTGACCAAGTTCGTCGGGAAAACATGAGATGGACAAACAAAGTTCGTTCGTCAGAAGTAGTTGTGCGATTGCCAGTCACCAGACATGTATACTTCAGGGTTATTGAATTGTAGGATTTCATTGGCTTAGTAAGTGAATCCCCATGTCCATCTTGCTCCTGAATCATAGGCTTTTGTGCAGAATGTTTTGTACGCAAATGTAAGTTTGAAAGAAATCATGCACAATGATTCGCCAACTCAAAAGGTTGTCGACCCAACATGTGCGTAACGCTTTGACTCAAATATTGAACAAAAATGCCTCAAAAAGCAAACAGCCAATGGCGGTTCAATACTCGGTGAGGTGGAGTCCCATGTCAGAAAGCTATGTTATAGAAGGCCATCAAAGCATGGCGACCTTGAGAGGCGTGAGGCTATCTTTGGCCGCCAGCAGCCCCGACAAGGCCACGCTTTGCATCAGCGCTGCCCAGGCTACCAAGCCACGAACGCGGACATAGGTCCCTGCCCCAGGCCTGCCAGATTCAGTTTCTATCCCACAGGTTCCGTTTCGCTCTGACTCAGAGCTGGCTACATATCCACCCCAAAAAGTGTGGTCCCAAGTGTCCTCAATCACCGCTGAATCTCTGAGTCAAGTCCTGAACTCTGCGACGGCGTTGACAAACTTTCCAAGTAGCAATGCATGGCACCTGATGAATACGAAGAGGATGAGAGAGGGTTCCATCCAGCACCCCAGTAGCGTCCTTGCTCCTAGTAAGGCCAGAAGACCCTAGTAGCGTTCATGTTACTAGGAGGCGGGGGAGCGGCCACGTCGGTTTCGCAGACCAAAACCCCCGCCGTTCTTGGAAGCAACTGCCGTGATCTTGTAATATGTTTCACCAATTAACCATGTAGATCCATGTAGGGTATTACTCAATTACTCAATGAGGAGGTTTTCCCAAAAATGAGAAATGTCAGGATTGGACCATGTACAGAAACAGGACGAACACCATCGCTGTCGACCCGTGAAGCGTCCCGTGTCCGACGCGCGAAAGCACCTGAGCTCTGGGGCCACATCCAAGAGATTCAAGAGTAAAGGGGTAGCAAAAACATACCTCAGCTCTGGGCCCAATTAGGGCAGGGCATTCCTTCTTGGTTTGATCATGAAAAAACTACCACCAAACACAAACTCCATCTCTCAAAACCTTCCCAACCTCTTGGCTTTCGCAGAATCACTGGAATCTACAAATGTTGGTCGTTTTTGCATGTTCCACTTGAGCTGTTCTGGGATCCTCAAGCGAGTTTCAGCTGCCGTCGCTCACCCTTGAAGAACCTAATTGTTGGAACAAACGTGGCTGGGCCACGTTATTTAGGGGATACAATCACGCAAATAGAGAAATAGAAAGGAAACGAACGTGACTCGGAGTGGGAAGATAGGACATAATTTTTGTTCAGTGATTAAAAACTAATCAAAACGGATCGGAAAGAAAAAAACTTGGGCAGCAGGGGATGGCAGGGTAGAATTTAAAAAATAAGTTATTTGATCTTATTTGTCTATTTAGGTTCTTTTTTCTCCGTCTCCTCCCCACGCCCCCTGGTAACAGTGGAACGATCAAAGCGCTTACGGCCACCCTGTCTGGCTGGGATCAAGTGGATCTCGCCGCAGAAGTCCGACTTCGACCCCGAGAAGACTGTGTCTGCTGAGCGTTCAGTGGCGGAACATCGGTTGCCCGACCGGGGGAATCAAGCCGGGGCTCCTGGCCTTACTACTAGGAACAAGAAGCTACTAGGAGCTTTTTCGCAGGTGAAAGCCTCACAAGCCCGAACGGCGAATGGGAGAAAAGGTGTTCAGCGACAAATCAGCCCCCCAAAACAAAGTTCTTGACCTGTTCTCTTAGGTTGGAGGCCATCGCTCTTAGGTTGGAGGCCATCGCTTCTAGGTTGGAGGCCATCGCTCTTAGCTTGCAGGCCATCACTAGGTGGCCATACACGTGACGCATGACGCGGACGTGTTCTCCAAGCTGCACCGCGGTAAGGACTGTGCCCAACACGAGCGCAGTGCTCAACGCGGTTCCCAGGCGCTGGGCCGCCTGACAGCTTGGGTTTGGAAGCGTTTGAAGGATATCTGTGAAGAATCGATGGCAAGAGTTGTCCGAGACATGTCTCTGGATGTTGTTCTTGTGCTTCTCAGGGTCCAAGCCTGTAGGCCTTCTAGGAAAGCACTGGATCCATTCCACCGGAAGCTGTGGGTTGATAGTCTTCGTCAGAAAGGCGAAACTGCAAGAAGGAACGCGTTGTCAACCAAGGCTACCCCACCAAACTTCAATCATCGAATGATGCAGGAAAGGCATGTGTCACCTGAAGAACTTCTATTACCTGCTTTTCTAGGCGTTATGCAAGCTGGTTGTGTTGGCATAGAATCCTGACAAAAGTTGGAAATGCTGCTGAAGGAAGAAGGAGTTCTCCCAATGTGAAATGACTTCTTACGACGTCATGACTCCTCTCAACTCCACATGCACTGTGCCTTTGGGCGGCCCCACGGCAGGGCGCGGGCCACCTGGGAGATCGGTTTGTTCGTTGAGGCAAGGAGCCCCGTTTGTAGCGTCCGATCGCTCCTAGTAGCGATGCCAGGAGCCCCTAGTAGTTGAGTCTGTTTGTCGACAACGAAGGATGTGACCGGTTGCAAACTCCAGACCCGAACGGAAGAGCTGGTGCACACCGGGCGTGCCGCCCCACACTCTTGCCTTGGAAACTAGAGGTTTCTCGAGGACAATGTCTTTTCTTGGCTTCTTGGCTCCCTGGTCTAAACAGTTTCTGAGATCAGCTCACCTGCTCACCTCTAAATGAGTTGAACCTCGCACAAAAAAGAATGCGTGTTCACACATAAAAATGCAACAGTGAAGGTCAGTAGGTTTGGATGGTAAACTGTAAACACGGTCAATTACTTTGGAGCTATGCCTGTTGAAACGCGTCAATTTGGTCACGTTTCCCGCTGCTACACCTGCTTTGATGAAGGAAGTCTTCACTGGATACCCAACAAGCACTTCTTCCACTCCATTTTCCAGGGCAAGCAGCTAAGCCAGTAGTGGCTCGTGGTAAGAAAACAAAAAGATAGAGGATGTAGTCGGACAACCTTGGCACAGCCGTGTGGGTGGCCCAAAGGGTCACAGGGGTCAGACCACCAAACGGCGAACCTTGGCGAACGGCTGATACAGGGGCAAACGACGGTGGCTGACAGGCACTCGTTCGCTCATGACCTCGTGTCTGCTCATTTGTGCACCCTTGAATCCAGAAATGAAGTTGACATCAAGAGCCCAGCCATTCACATTCCTGCTCAGTCAGGCAGGTTATGGATTGCTTTAAGGTTTGCGTTAAGGGACCGTGGTCGTATTCTGCGTGCAACATACCGGGTGGCTCAAAACTGGGTCCGATGGGTCCAAAGGTTTCAAGCTTTGACCACACAGCTTTTCCCTCAGAAATGGTCTGCTAAGAGGGAGGGTTAGATGTTCAACAGCCAAAGGGAAATTCATTTAACAATCCTCGAGACTTCCTCGCCAAGCCGACACCACCTCACCAACCCATCTGCCCTGAACCTTGGCCTACTTTCCCAAGACATCCTAAGACAGCGTCAAGCTGAACCTTGCCACGCAACACGCTTCCGGGGCTCATCGCCGCTAAAGCTTTGGTGCCACTCAAACGGCCAACAAAGGCGTTGTCAATGTTCCTCGGTCGTCGGTGTCGTTGCCGATCTCAGGTCCCCCGGCGGAAGCGGATGGCAACCTCATTTGGCCGATCTCGTTTTTGTGTCGTGATGTTGGTCCCATGACGCCACCTCATTTGGGCGATCAAAAAGGAAAAGATGCAAAATCGATTTGATGACCGGAAAGCTTTATTGTTACTAGTAGCGATGGCCTCCCCCCTAGTAGCGATGGCCTCCAACCAAATAGCGATGTCCTCCACCTAGAAGCTTCTAGAGTCTTTGCAACGCTTCTTGATTCTTCTTCTACATCTCTCACTGAGAAGGGTTTGGAAGGCAAGCATGTTTGAGGGGTACGGAGCCACTCCTGTTGTAATTGCAGACTTCCTGACCATCGAACAAGACTTCGGCCAACATTCAAACTTGTCACCCCTGGGATTCCAACAGAGAAAGACCCTCTGGAAGAGGATGTTCCAAATTTGCAGTTTGGGGCACTGAGGAAACACACTAGAAGCTTTCTAGTAACCAGAAGCTTCCTTGGGAATCGTTTCACCTGTAGTTATGTCATCAATCCAAGCACGATCCAGGTGGGGCCCTCCCTCGATCCCTCCATTGGTTGGACCCGATCCATTCACGGCGAAGCACGTCATAAACGGTGACGCAATTGAAATGCCCAGGGCCGGAATGGCAAACTTCAGCATCTCCTGCCACCCAGGCGGACAAGAGGACGCTACGAACAGAGCAAAGGGCATCGCTACTAGGGGCTCCTGGCATCGCTACTAGGAGCGATCGGACGCTACTAGGAGCAAACACTGAGATGATCTGCTGAGTTTGGTATGTTCCTCTTTCCACAATGGGATCCCAATAGGACCCGGATCCTCCAATCGTTCATTGGTCAAGCTGTATTGCTGTGGATCCAATCCCACAAGCATGCGCAGATTGGTGTCCTGTGAAAATCTTTTGCTCATGAATGCTTGGACAGTGTTTTTCTCTTCAACCTTCGGATCAGAATGGATCAGATGGGAGGATCGAAAAACGGTTTCAGACTGTCCGCCGGGTTGATTTCTTCCAAGCTCGGCGGTCGGATTCTTTCCGCGCTCCCACAAAGGTCAACCTAAAAGAGGACATCAAAGGAAATCTTTGAAGCAGGGTTGTATGCAGCAGAGTATTACAACGATGGAAGGCACGAACAAAGACAGGGCATCACTTCGTGAGTTCTTCCCATGGAACAACGGCATCCCGTGGCTCTTCTTTCCAGATCTTTAAGTCACCACACCATGCTTCTTGCTCCTAGGAGTACGGCCAGGAGCCCCGAACGTAAGTAGCGTCCTCTTGTTCCTAGTCACCACACCATGCAGCACCGGCACCGCCCCTCGGCATCGGCCTTCTTTGAGAACTCTGCATCGGCTCGACGCAGCACACGTGGACGTGGCGGGCGAGGAGGGCTCGGAGCCAAGAACCTGCAAAGCCAATCAAAGAGACAACGGCAGCCCAACCTACTAGCAACCCTAGCGATGGCCTCATCCAAGGAGAAAAGGCATTTCATCCAAGTGCAAGCGTGCATGATGAACCCTGTGCAGTAGGAAAGCTAGAGGAACTCTGACTCTTTGTTAGACAGCTGGTGGGATACCTCGCATGGTAGCACAGGCAGGCTGCAGTCACAGGCCTAAAACGAAAAACCACAGACTGCCCTTGTATGAGATAGAGCGTGGGACAGGAAAGAGAGAGAGAGAGAGCTATACATATATATATATATAGCATTCCCGACCTGCCAATCAAAGAGCCCAACCTACTAGCGATCGCCTTCAGCCTAGTAGCGATGGCCTTCCCGCCCCCACCTGCCTCACGCAGGGCTTCCCACCAGCGAGTCCGGTTGCATACATGGCGGTCGGCGCAGTCGTCTCGTAGCGCGGCTTCGGTTGGGCCCTCGCCAAGTCGTCCCTGTTGGACGCACCCAGTTCCCACCGTTCGGCGGGAACGTGAACGAGGGGCGGATCCGAAGCAATCCCGTTCGGACGTCCGGTCTGGGACACGTCTGGTTAATGTGAAGGAGCTAACAAAACACGTCTGTGGCTCATGTCTGCTCGTCATACGAATGTGTGGTGTGTGTTCGATGTTCACCGAGTTATTCCGGAATGTTTCAACAGCCCTTTTGGGACACGAACTTCCTTGGATCGAATCACGGGACGGTGCCTTGAAAACTGGCTGGCGGAAGTGGCGTGTTTGAAGCGGCGAAAGCAACGTTGCCTCGCTCCAGCACGGTGCTTTTCCCAAGGAGTCATGGAAGCCTTGGAATGCACCAGTTGTTTCAATTGGTGGGAGCTGAATCAGATCATGGCTTTGCATCTATGGAATGGTGCGGAATATAAATAAGAAGGAGAAACCAACAAAAAAAATCGAAAGCAACTACGGTACCACCTATTCCAAGACAAGAAAGTTGCTAGGCCCTAGGCCATGAGCTAGCTTGAAAATTTCAATCCTCGAGCGCAAACCAAACACACCGCCCTAAATTATTGCTATCCAGCAAACAAAACCTCAACGATGACTTTTCAGGACGGTGAGCGTTGGATTTGCCCAAGAATACAACGATCAGTAACTTCCAATGGCAATGACCCTTCCAACAAAAAACCTCTTGAGTTCGTAGATCGCCACCCAGCTGACAAGTGGTTTCAAACCAAGAGATACCAGTCCTGCTCTGCACAGTGTCTATGCACGATCCATGGGATAGGCATAGGTCACTCCAACCAGGATGAGTCATCATGCGTATCTAAACTAATCTATTTGGGACTCATGGTATGGATGGGTATGAGGAAAAATCTGAACTATAGTTGTTCTGCGCAAGGATATTGGTGTTTCAGTGAGCTCCCATTTAGTTTTAGTCCACTGCCAATCCATAGGCAGTACTTTCTTCCCTGAACATGCCGGATAGACAAGGCGACAGGCTGACAGGCGCAAGTGGTTTCCAAACAAGGCAACAATCGAAGAAGGACACCGAGGACACGGAGGTAGTGTCGCCCAGAAGTTACGCTTGGTGCTCCATGGTGATCCTAATTTAATCCCACTGAGCTTGGTATACGCCTTGATGACCAAAGGCTGAATGATCAACTTGGTTGCACTCATGAACGAAGGCTTGAGAAAAAAGAATCTCGCAGTGACTCGGTGACTATAGGTGTTTTTGATTGCGAACTTTGAAGCAGGGGCATCCCTGACTAGGATCCACCTGTTTGCTCCAAACAGAGCAGAAAACCCGAAGGATGGAGCCACAGGAGGCAACTGCAACTGCAACTGCCCGTCGACGTGAACCAGGCTGGTTCCACCTCCACCAACACAGTCACTGAACTCCAACCTGAGTAGAGACGGTCTCCGTAACGAACGGAGTCGACAACCGAGTGGTTCACCTTCCTTTGATACAAAGACTTGTTGGATAGACGGGACGTGGCTTAGATGTGCACTTTCTTCTGAAGGGGAAATGCGTGGTACCAAAGCACTCTCCTTTGATCATCCCACATGCCCGTGCTTGAGAAACCATGCCCTACAGAATACTCCACCGAGATGAAAGCAGTCGAAATGCAGCACCTAGTAGCTTCTCGCTCCTAGTAGCATCCTTGCTCCTAGTAGCGATGCCAAGAGCCCCTAGTAGTCTAGTAGCGTCCATCTGGGGATGCTTCAGGTCAGAAAATCAGAAACCACGAGAAAACGTTCGGAGGAAAGTGCAAACTGCGGCACCTGGTCAGTCGATTCCGCTGTGCGAGCTAATCGATCCCCGCGGAGTCCATCGAATTCCCCGATGTTCAAGTGGCTATTAGGTTGGAGGCCATCGCCTATTAGGTTGGAGGCCATTGCTATTAGGCGCTGTGGCTGTGCGTTCTGAGCTTCAGGCCCTCCTCAATCAAACAGCTGGTGGGGTTGTAGAGGACACCTCGTGAGGTGCAGAAGTCGTGCTGAAGGAAGGAAGGATTGCGGCACCTAAAGAGGACTCAAATAGACTCAAGCGCTTAGTACTACTTAGTATGACTCCGGCACTGAAAGAGAGAAGTTGCTTCTTTCATTACTTCCTCAAATCTGGCATCGGAAACATCCTGAAGCAGATCCTCAAATGGTAGCCCTGGTAGCCCATATGATGAGTGGAAATGGTTTGAGTGGAGATGGAGTGGAACCTTTTTCCCCATCTGATTCTCCATTCATTCAAATCTATCAGGTCTTTGGAAATCGGAAACCGATGGCTAAAGGCTTAAGGCCTGGCAAATTCCCATGCGGGCACGTGATCCAATGGGTGTCCGTCATCACCTCAACCCTCAGAATCCATCTATACCAAATACATCCATGTATACCAAAGGTTGTTTTATCTCTGCAGGCTTCATTTGTGGTTTTCTGGCTGTGTTTCGCAAGGATTGGCACATACTGCGTACTACGTCCTCCATTTTCACACGCTCAGTTGGCTTTGGGCAAGTGACTCGGCTTGCAGATTCGGTCGGTGCCCAGGTTTCCGGGGCGGAGTGACCAGTTTCGATTGAATGACCGGGAGATACCAGGAGACTGGAGGAAATGACCCAACTTATGTTCCTTGCCGATCCAATTCACACCCTGAAGGATTGAAATCAGCGTTCAAATGCTTCGCAAATTCGCACAACTTGCTCGTTCGTGTCTGTGAGCCCTTGATCGTTGCCCAGGCACCATGGGCACTGGCGCAGGGAGGACTGCCTCAAAAGGTGGCGCTTTCGAAGCCATGAGTCACTGGGCCTTGGACAACCACACGGTATTGATGGACCAATCTTTCACTAGCCTCAAGAAACACTATGGGCTCCCGCAAGAATCCAGTGTATCCACCATGCCAATCGTGTATCTCAGGTGCGTCAGTGTCGAACTGAACCGCGCGGCGGAGAGCTTGGCCCTTGGGGGCAGCGATTCGTGCAGAACCGCCCAGATGAGCATGGAGAAATGGTGTCCGTCTCACAGACCCCGCAAAAACTCTTCACCTCCGAACCGTCCAACATGTGGGTCGATGTCAACAACTCGTGAGCGGAACATCTGATCGAATGTATAAACCAATCCTCTACAACACAATATATTATATCCTATTCTATAAGTGTATGGCCATACCGGAACACCAGACACTATGAGATTGCTCGGATGTCCGCTCTTCTTTTGCTTCCACATCGAACCCAACTAGGGGCACTTCGAGATGTTCCACCACACAATGACCGTCAATGACCCAACCTCGCCTGTCATTCCAGAGGGCAAGACCTCAGCACCCGCGCGACCCTGTCACCGACCGCTCCGTCAAGGACTGGCACAACGGTGCAGCATGTCCATCAACACCCAACTATTTCGAAAGGTGAAGAACCACACATCATAGCAGTTTTGTTGAGAAACCACACACATCATGTGTAGTCCGATATGAAAGGTGGCTGTCCTCTTTCTGGCCAAGCTGGTATTCAATGTCCTTGCATCTAATTATTGTGCAAGGTGTCCCTGCATGGTTTCGGATGAAAACATTCCATGTGGTACCTAGGTCCCTTTGTTTTTACTGCGTTGCAGCTTTAATAGTGGAAGTGGAAGTGACCTGCTTGAATGACCCAATTGCGTCTTCCTCACCCAAACAAAGCAACGGTGTTTTTTGATGATCTCCAAAACATCTGAAGATTGTCAAGATTGTCAGCAGTGTTCTTCACCCCAACGCGTCACTGCTCTTCCAAGAATACAAGCCGCTCCTTCAGACCTTTGGCCCGACACTGAAGTTTACAGACAACGTATACGTAGTGAAAAGGAAATGCATAACGGGTGACTCAACTCGCACAAATCATACACAATCCGATCCTTGCTTCAAAGCGGGCATCGACTTGCAGTATATAATAGTATATATATACAGCGCGGCTGTGTTTTTGCTCTTCAAATCACAACGGAGACTCCAGAACAACCACCTTCAACGCGACGCCACGCCGCCGACGCCGCCGACGCCGCCCACGCCACGTGCTGCCACCAAGCGGCCGAGACCACCTGCCGTGCCAAGCGTCCACCGGCGCGCTCCACGCGCCGCAGCCACGCGCGAGCGGAGCGCGTGCCCGGCGGGCTGCGCCCAGCGGCATCACGGAAGGATTCAGCGGTGGAGCTCAAGTGGCCCAGGTCCTGAGAGTTTGTCGGGGTTTTACGTTACTACCTCCAACTTGGTTTTAGGAGCCCCTAGTAGCGTCCTTGCTCCTAGTAGTAAGGCCAGGAGCCCCTATTAGCGTTCTTTGCTCCTAGTAGCGATGCCCTTTGCTACTAGTAGCTTCTTGTTACTACCTCCAACTTAGTGGCTTCTTGCTCCTAGTAGTATGGTCAGGAGCTACTAGTAGCGTCCCTGCTTCTAGCAGCGATGCCCTTTGCTCCTAGTAGCTTCTAGCTAATAGTAGTCATGCCCTTGTTACTAGTAGCTTCGCTTCTAGCCACTGTAGTAAGGAAGAATGGACGGAATTCAATTGATGACCTGTATCCCAACTCAGGATGTTATTTGGGCGAAAGGAACCCAGATGAATTTGAGCCCCACTCAAGGTCGACCTCTTTAGACCGCACTGGCCTTCACCCAAATCTCGTCAGTTCCCCCCTCCCATTCCGAACGCCTCCCGGCACAGCGCATGTGGCCGCCGTACCGGCGTTGAAGGCACCCCAGGGCCCAGCCGGTGCAGTGCCCATTGAGGCAGGAGCCGGCGAAGCTGCGCGCGCAGTTCAGGTCCTAACCGGAAAGTCCAACTGGGAATGACACAGCAAAAGCGCTGAGAAGGGTAGGCAGGAAAGAACATCTGAACCGCAAGTTTGGAATCAGAAGGCCAGATGTCCTTGGTATTTGCCGCAGTTGAGGTCTTCTAACCGGGTATCTGTAGTGGTGTAGGGCACGGTCAACAGTTGGATGCCCAAGCCTGAAACCACTGCTGCAATAAAAAAGGGCAGAAATTCCTGCCTGACCTGCAGCTGGGATGTCCAGTAACTGAGTGACATTCAAGACCTGGTGAATAACTGGGTTGAGTTTGTCTCGCCAGTGATTTGATCGACAAAGAGACTACTTCCTCCACTCAAATTTGGGAATACCGCAGAATACCCGAAGTTCAGCCAACTGGGCGACATGGAATGCCAGGCTGAGGAGAAGCTCTCGTTTCCCTCCAATGTCCTTCACCTACTCAAGTCCTCCACTGCTCCAGGTGTCCTCCTGTTACACCTTGAGACCGTTCTTCCCTTTCTTTGCTACGGCAGCCCCTCTCACCTCCGACATCGCTCCTGGCTCGAGGACCAAGGCCCGTTGAAGGCTGGCCTGGCAAGCTGGGAAGAAGCGCCAGAAAGGTCGATTCGGTTGGGTTCGGACCCAGAAGGGTTTCAAGCCCATCTGCGATCTCATCTTGTTGGTAGTTGCCAAGCAGGTTAGCTCAACTTAATGCCACGTATCAAAAGGCACAAAACCTAGTTATTCCATGTTATTCCAATGCCCTTACCCTGGATCCTTGGAGTAGATCTGAGTGGTTTCCGAAGACAATGCGTTCCATAGCCTGATAGGGAAGTTGGTGTTCAGTTAACAGCTGGGATCAGTTACTTGCAGTAACTCCACTTCGTCGCTCCACTTCACTGCAGAGACCCCTCACAGACCCTCACAGAGCCTCATATCCCTCACCAAGCGTCCTTTTTGCCACATCACAAGTGACACAAATCGACTGCGCCGCCCTCGTCGCCTGCAGCGCGTCCTTGAGTTGCGCAAGCTGCTGGGAGAGCAGCTCACTGCCCCGGAGGAGAAGGTGAAACACCTGGCAGAGCGACCTAAAGACGTCAAACGAACCGGCGCTGAACATGTTGAGTCATTGAGGACTTTTGTTTTGGGTTTCACCACTTGATACATGAACAGTCTAATCTCAGCAGAACAACAAGCCCTAATTGGCTTGGAGGGGAGTGGCTCTATGCTTGCTGAAATGGGAGTAGACCTCTTACAAAACCGATGATGGCAGTGCACCGCTGGGTCAAGCACAGCAGACCAGTAAGCGTGGAAAGCGGCATCAGACCCCATGCGTCTTGATGTGCAGAACAAGCTTCTCCAAATTGGTCAACCCAACCAGGTCCAACCCCCGCAAATCCCCAGCAGCTCATCATTCGCTCTCCAAAGCGCAGCGCACACCGCCCGCGGCACCCGCAACCCACGCGGGGGAGCCTCGGTGGACTCCTCCGGGAGCCTCGGATGGGCCATGGCTTGGTGGAAGAGCTCCTCGATGCCAGAGAAGTCTCCTGAGAAGTCTTGAGAACCACACCCACACCCATCCTGAAGCCATGGGGATGGCCTCCAGCCTCCAGCCAAAAAGCAAAAGGAACCTAATGGGGCTGGCCTCCAACCAGAAGTCTCCTCAGAAGTCTCCCAAGAAGGTCCACGTGTTGAGAATAGGCATTGAGAATGGCTTTGGACCATTGTATGATTCTTTGAGAACACCCACACTCATCCTGAAGCCCCTTGAATCCAGGTCGCCTAGACCTTCTGCCAGCGACTGTGACTGCTCCAGCCGCTCCAGGTCAGCCACTCTGGTGATCAAAGGCCCGGCCACGGCCGACAGGGAGGGCGGCGATGGAGCTCCAGTGCAGCTGCTGCGCAGGAGATCCTGGGACACCTGGGCGAGCCAGAACAGATTCGGGAGGATGGATGATGGAATACATATGTTCTTAGTGCTTTTATGTTGCTTTACGAATTCGATTGTCATCAATCCCATTGCCTTTCTCCCCACACGAACTCGGTTGCTTCTCGCCTCTGCGAGGTGGAGGAATTCCTCGGTGAGCTCCTTGGACAAGAGACCCAGGAGACTCACCTTGGATGAGAGACTCACCGAGTTCATCCACCTTCACGTCGGTTGGAGGCCACTAGGAACAAGAAGCTACGCACGGTGGCCATCGCTCTGAGGTTGGTGGAGACATCCGACGTCATCACGTCATCACGACTTCATGTGGTGTGAGCCAACGGCTCAGTCCAGGCCAAGACCGTCAAACGATGCTGTCCAGGCCACTGAGAGGCTCGGTAGATCGAAGCTGGGCAAATCCAAGCCTTGGAGACACAAATCGAAGGCTCGAAGGCAGCAGGCTTCTGAGAGATGTGAAATCTCGATCTCATGAGATCCGTTTTTGGTGCGTCTCTTCGATCGGATCGATTCGAAACGTCCTCAACTCTAGTTTCTAACGAATCAGAAGAATAAGTGGCGTCAAAGTCATGGGTCAGAGAGCCGCGCATCACGCAGTATGGGTAAGGCTAAGGTCAATTTTGCACCCCAAATCGGCCAAGGATCTTGTGGACCTGGCCGATTTCTCGCGTCAACCCGGGAGACTCTCTTCACCCTTCGTCCAAGACACTCAGCAAGGAGTGGAGGACGTCATCCCCCAACCTCACCGACAGGACGTCGGACGGGGCGGTCATGGTCGGTCACTCGGGGCCGCTGGTCGGACGACCGTGACCCTTGACCCGTACTGCGACCGCTTTTCGAAGGCCACACGGCAGATTCAAACGAAACAGAAATGAACAGACTAGTCTATATATAGTTGCTGACTATAGTCGTATCACACAGACTATGTCGTTACTCAAAATGCGATACGGGAATCGGTGAACACCTGCCGGAAAGCAATGAAACATGTCAAACTATCTGACATTATCTGACACCTTGGAATGCTCGCAGTCTTGCGCATCAAGAAGGCAAAAAAGGCCGACCAACCCATCCCATCCTCGTTCCAACGAGCCGTGACCATCTTGGGTCAAGCGGCTGTTGCCGCAGTCTCGCACAGGGCGACGTGGCCAAGGTCTCTCCCACGTGGGCGGTGACCGTGAGCGGCCACAGTGCGAAGAGCCACCCACCGCCACCGAATGGCCGAGCCATCGCTGAGATGAACACATGCTAAGCTACTAGGGGCTCCTGGCCTTACTACTATAGGAGCAAGGACGCTACGAACGGAGCATCTGGTCTTTGAAATCAGATGAACCTGAAAATCGCCCTTCTCTGTGGAAACCAAAAGAACAAAAAGTTGTCCGACAGTTGTCCTGGCCCCAGGTGACCTCTGTGGTGACCTTTCTTTCGTCCGTCTTCTCGACAGAACGGGCTGAGGCGATCAGGTGCACGATCACGATCGGTGTTGGCCAAGGTCCCAAACAGAATGGAGTGCCCAACATCCGGAACCTTCGATGTGTCGGTAGTCCTCTTGGTCTCAGTGTTGCAGGCGGCACACTGGTACACCAAAAGGGACCCCCTTGGTCTAATACAAGTGCCCACATACAATCAAGGTGAACACAAGAAGATGTGTCACATTTAGATCATTAAGTGTAACAATCAAAAAAGAAAGATATGGCCAAATTAATGTCTTGAAAGGAACAAAATCCAGTTGTAGTCCATAGAGTGAGAAGAGCTGACCTGGATACTCAGTTCCTGATCTGGCTCAGATGTAGGGGCGCCGGGGAGTGAATCATGCCATTGCTGCGGGTCGGCAAAATCGCTGAAAACAATCCCATGGATCTTACCGGAGATGTCACTCTAGTCGGACGATCACCAGTCCCGGAGCTTGACATTTCACCACCCAAACAGTCGCGTTCAAAACGCAGCGAATTCTGGACATCCGATGCGAGGCGAGACACCTAGCGCGGCGGACGGGGGGGTTTGCGACGTGACTCCTGGAGGACGTTCATGGCTTCCTTCTTTGCATCTTCGCGCTTTTGCTTGATGGCCTCATCGCTACTCGGAGCGATCGGACGCTACCAGGGGCTCCTGGCCTCACACCAGGGGAACTGATCAACAAAATGATCAACAAGAAAAGACTCTTAGGAAAGACGCTGTAACTGGTCTTTATAAGTGCCTTGCCTTAGCTCTTTTTGCGAATAAGTGGTGACAATAAGGAAAATACAAGAAGATACCTGTACTAGTAGGTAGGAGGGTGACCGGTAGTGACAATACTGCCGGTGCATACGAGAGTGCCACAGCTGCTACTGCTGGATTCCATCCGAAAACTTGTACCATCAACATGCTTCAAGAGGAGGAATTCGAGGATAGGCTAGGGAGTGCTCTGTGGCTCTATGGTCTATGTGGCTTAACACTGGAAACCACCCATCACTGTTGAGCTGTGTCCTCCAGCGTCTTCCGACGCACTTCCGCTGTATTCCGCAGCTCCCCGCGGCACCTCCTGCATGAACTTCATCCCCAAGAGGCCCGTCTTCGGCAGCTCCCCATCCGCATCCAGGTCCCTTCGGCCCAATCCGATCGCCCGAGGGCGTCCGATCGCGAACGGTTCGTAGTAAGGCCAGGAGCCCCGTTCGTAGCGTCCTTGTTACTACTAGTAAGGCACTTGTTACTAGAAGCGATGCACTTGTTACTAGCTTCTTGTTCCTAGTAGTAAAGAAAATGCCATTGGAATGGCTTCCACCCTAGTAGCGATGGCCTCCAACCTAGAAGCGTCTCCTCAGAAGAATCGGTTCGGAAAAGCGTGGATGGGCATCGTGGTTAGGTTCCAAGAGGCTGCTGGGATGGGTTTGCGTGATCCCGGTGATCCCTCGTATTGGTTCCAAAGAAAGAAGAAACTGACGGACCTTATTATGCTTGGATTGTCACCTATGTCACTTCCACTTGAGGGCTTCTGTGGCTACATACAGTGGAATTGAGCGCAAAACCCAAGCTAGGTGCTTTGCACATCTTGCCCCCAATTTCCGGTGGGCCCACCTGGGCTCTCCGCCGTGCCGGTCCGTGCCGGTCCGCCGTGCTCGGCCTGATCTCCTTCAGGGTGAGCCGCTTCGCCTGGAGCGTGGACTCGGTGGCGAAGGATGCGTCGTGAAGAGCTTCGGGAGAAAGAGTTGGCTTCTACCTACTACAGTAGGGTGGAGGCCATCGCTACGAACGGAGCGATCGGACGCTACTAGGGTGGAGGCCATCGCTAGTAGGTTGGATAGGGCAACCCTATGGGCCTATCGGCAGATCGGCATGCCGCTCCAGCGAGCGAGCAACACGAGCCCTGGAGCCAGTGCTTTGGTTTCGGCTTTGGGCCAAAGAACAGTTGGTCTTCTTGGGCACAAGAAATCAGGATCGCATTGGATCACAACTAAAGAGTTTCGTGGTGTTTCGTGCTTTCCCAGGACATGTTTCAATGGTTGACCTACTTGGGCATCTCTTGTGGGTGATTTCACTGGTTTGGGTTTGTCTTGTAGGCGACTCAATCGATGTCTAGGGTGTGAACTAGCGGGAGAATGCCCTCAAGCCAGTCCTTCAGTTGTATCAGCAATGAGTTGCATCTCCCGCATCCATCTCGCAATTATCTAGTCAACACTGCTGACTCATTACCGCAAAGACCGCTGCAAAAATATGTACTGTAGCTCAAACGTGAGTTTGGAGGAAGCCCGCAATCTCTGCCGCAGTCCGGTTTTGCAAGCTAAACACCCCACCTTCTTCGCGGTGTTCTGGGCCGCGGTCTGCGTCTCATCCTCCTCCTGAGCAAGCACGCTCGCCGGCAGCAAGATCTCCCGCGGCGATGTTCGTCCAGACTGGCCAGTGAACGAAACATGTGCAACATCCGGAGAAGCTGGAGAAACTACTACCAGCCACTCCAAATCCAGAACAATACAAACAAGATCAAACAACACATCTTCACAGCAACAAACACTAACCAAACGGCCTGATCGTCCACTTCCTTAAAACCTCTTCATGTCATTTAACAAACCTCGATCTTCAGTTCAACAACTAACTCTCCATCTTCCTTCTCAACCGCACACGAGCCTCGCTTCGACAGCAACTCTCCCTTTCCGCGTCGATCGCCTCCGAGTCCGAACGCCGCGGTCCTCGTCGCTGAGATCGATGGCCTCCGAGTCCGAGTCCTTGGCATCCTCGAAGCTGAAAAAGGCTGCTTCGAGTGGAGGGATGTTCAGGTTCAAGGAGTGATAGAAAGGTCAAGGAAGCAGGAAGCACGAAGCAAGGTCTACTAAATCTAAAACAACTTTGCAAGAAAACACTTTTGATTGTTCATCAACTTGCAAGTTGCAAGCGGGCCAATATATGAATGTTTTTTTTTGTCCGGTTCTCATTGGCCATGTGGACATGTTGCATAGCAAGTTGCGAGTCATATTGTGTGTGTTTCTTTGATGTTGCTGAAGAAGATTAATATGTGTATATAGTATATAGAGATACGTATACAGTCAAACAGATGGGAGATGATGTTTTGACAGGAGATGTGATGGGTGGGTGGATGGAGAAGTGTGGTGGTAAGCCATTGAACCAGTTGAACTACGGTCTGTGGTGAGGGTCCAGAGTGAAAACCAATGTAAACAAAGTAGAGGTGATGTTAGAGGTCCGCGATGCAAAGAACAACAAGAAGTGGTTCCGAGTGTGAGACCCCCTATGGTCTTCTATATCTTCAGATTATCAATGGGCCTGCAAGACCCCCTAGTACACAAACATTCTTACTTGAGGTAAAATGTGTTCTTGCAATAACTCCATCGTTAGTAGTAACTAGAAGCCTCATCCATGGAATCATCAACTTCACATTTTTTAACATTTTATCCTGACTTCAGGAGAATGAGGAGAGCAGCTCAAGTGACAGCAGCAGCAGCTCATCAGAGGTGCCTGAGCCATTGCAAAAGAGGGCACGAACCAAAGCTGAGGGGAAAGCGAAGGCCAAAACCAAGGCGAAAGCAAAGCCCAAGGCCAAAGTGAGTACCTCCAAGAGGTCTCAGAGCGGCTCAATCACCGCCGCATTTGCCAAAAAGGCAAAGAAGTGACAGAGTCCTTTTTTCAGGGGTTGCATTCACATGCAGGCCAGGATTGGGACAGTGAAATGATGGAGATGTGTAATATATATATCTATCTATCTATGCAAAAACCACCTTTTCAGTACAAACCTGAACTAATAGTTCAAGAGCACAAACAACTGTTTGGGTGTCCCAAGGCCCATGTGTGAAGTTGGGGATTGGAGCAGGGTAAAAACCTTGCCTGAAAACAACCTGTGAGGCCGCGAAATAAGGTTTTTGCGCGTGGGACGTCCCCTGGATTTCCTTTTTCCAACGGTCTTTTCTAATTGTCTTTCAAAAACCAGGATCCTCAATTTTGGGAGATGATCAGTCAGATGTAGCATTAAAAAAAGGCTTAATCGCAGACCACTTTCTTAATTACAGGCTTCAACCCTATGCTGTGCAAGTCCACACATCAGGAAGATAAAATACATATGAATCTCCCGTGATGTCGATATCAACCACCAACGACGTCGACGCCGTCAACTCGCCTTGCCCTGGATGGCGCGCCGCAAGGCTTGCTCCTCGTCGTGAGCCTTTTGAGCCTGGAGGACGGCGGAATGCGACGTCGACCCACCGCACGAGACCGCTGTTAGACCGCTGAGACAGAGGCTCACCTGCTCTGCTCTGCTCTGTCCAAACGTTGTTCGCAACTTCTTCGGTCAAATCAGCTTGTTTTCATGTTCAATGTCCTTCAGTGTCACTTCCAGACGTCGCTCCTGCTTTGAGATCTCCTGCTGTGCGTTCCGGTCGCCCTTGGCAAAGCGCTGCATGGTCTGCGTCCACTTCTTCCTGTTTCGCGCACGGTGCGGTCTCGAAGCGAAAACGTCACGAAACAGGTGAGACCAGACTGTGCCAAGCCAGGGAGAAACGCTACGAACGGGGCTCCTGGCATCGCTAAAGACCTTGTTCGTCTAATCTGACCACCCCCCGCCTGGCATTCCTCGCACGCAGGAGCCGCCGCTCGGCGTGCTTCTTCTCGTAGTCCTGCTGCATGGCGAGCGAGGAAGTGAGCAAGTAACAGGGGGTTGTGGGGGTTCCCCCTTTTCTTTGACACTAGACACTTGTTACTACTAGCTTCTTGTTACTACTAGTAAGGCACTTGTTACTACTAGCGATGCA